CAAGGTGCCTAGTACCCAACGGCAGACAAGTGTTTTCAAAAGCTGAGAGAAAATTCCGCAGATGCCCAGCACTAGCAATAAAAATACAGTAATAATAATTAACCACCCCTTCATGACACCCAAAATCAACTTTCTGAGATGGCCACCTCCCTTTGCCAAATGGTAGAGCTTGCTGCTTGCCCTATAGATAAATTTTAAATAGCACCAGTGGTGGTGTTAGTCTCTAGCTTTAAGTCTGCCAAGGACAATGGCTCCTCATCCATCTTAACAACCTTTACCAAGATGAGCTGCTTAGAATATCTGAATTATGTTCTTCGGGGGGGGTAAGGTCTACCCTCTCTGTTATTCCTTTGCCATATTCTAATCACCCCTTTAGAAGTATTTACAAATATGGAATGTTTTATAAATGTGTGTGTCATTTGTGCGTAGGAGTCACTTTAATCTTCTGTGTATCATTCCAATTTTAGTGTGATGCCAAAACAAGCACCTCTTTTGGGATTATTTCTTAAGTGTTTGCTCTGCACACCACACATTTGTGTACACACTCCTGTTTGCTCTGCATCCAGTGTGCTCCTGCCATTGGTTTTTGAACTGTTGTACACACAGCTTTAGCCACAGTCCATATCTATCCTGTCATTTCTTAAGAAATGTTATTTTGATATGTGTTTCTCCAAACCAGCTTTGATCTGTATTGAGAAAAAGAACAAACTAGCAGAGTTTTAATATGGCAATGTGTACACAGCCATCATCTCAGTACTAAGGTATGCCAGTGTTATTAATATCTTATTTACATAAAGTTTGCTGAAGCAAGGAATAGAGGTCAACATAATGCCTGATCCACCAGGCATTTAAACATTGATACAACCAGGGTCTCTATTAACAACATCCTATTTTTTCTTGGTTGGGACGCGGGTGGCGCTGTGGGTTAAACCACAGAGCCTAGGACTTGCCGATCAGAAGGTCGGCAGTTCGAATCTCCATGAGGAGGTGAGCTCCCGTTGCTCGGTCCCTGCTCCTGCCAACCTAGCAGTTCGAAAGCACGTCAAAGTGCAAGTAGATAAATAGGTACCGCTCCGGTGGGAAGGTAAACGGCGTTTCCGTGTGCTGCTCTGGTTCGCCAGAAGCGGCTTAGTCATGCTGGCCACATGACCCGGAAGCTGCACGCCGGCTCCCTAGGCCAATAAAGCGATATGAGCGTCGCAACCCCAGAGTCGGTCACGACTGGACCTAATGGTCAGGGGTCCCTTTACCTTTATATTTTTTCTTGCCTGGGACTTCAAAAACAAGGAGAACATGTGACTGGATCACATATTGTGTAAGCCTGGCCTAAAGCCACCCAGTATATTCATGGCAGATCTATATTTGAAATGGGAATTCCCAGATCAAAGCTCTTGATCTTAATCACCATAATCTCTCTCATATTTGTCCTCAAAGTTATAATAGTGTGAATACTGTTGTCTCTGTACGACCGGGTCTAAGAGCATCACTCTTATTTGCTGGACTAAACTTGTACTATGCTGCTAAAAGTGATATTTCAAATGTACTTGAAGCTGTAGTCAGAACTTAAAAGTATTGTGAGCCTTTTAACTTTATAAATTCTAATTGTTACTGATGCAAAATAACTTTGATTTATGGTCACCAATCTAAGCAATACATGTTATTATCCATCATTTCATGTATGTAGTAATTTTGGCATACATACTTTGACACAATTTTGTTGATACATCTAGAAACGTTTATCTCATTGTTTATAGTTGATTTTAAATTTTATGTAATTGTTTCATGTCATAAGCTCTAATGTAAACAAAGCTAAATCTCAGTGCAACCATGTTAGATTTTTATTAATTTTCATTTAAAAACTATGTTTAAAAAAATAGAGTGCCATGGGTCATGCCAATAGAGCGTATAATTCTTAGAGGAAACAAATCAGGGAGTGTAGTGTAGGATTTTCACTGGATGGTAGAAATAGGGTTAGAAATAGAATTTGGTTTGGGACAGTAAGCAAAGTGATGTTAGGTTGGTCAATGAAGCCATTCCTAGAATCATAGATTTTAGAGGGAGTTCTACACTCTCACTACAGTATAGAACCCCAACTTAAGGCCTGCCAAGGGATGTGACCTTACTCTCCTCATTTAGGCTCTGTTACGTTTTCCTGCACTTATTATTATATAGCCCTATAGTGTACATAGTGCTTTACAAATACAACAATCATCATTTTCATGAGCTGGGAACAGAAGGTAGATATTGGCAGCCTTTGCCAAACTGGTGTCCTCCAAATCTTTTGGACCATAACTCCCATCAGCCCCAGCTCAGCACCCATACTATGTTAACTATAAATTAACTTTGCCCTAATAAAGCAGCCCTCTAGCCCACATTACATTAAAATAAGACTTCAGTTACTCATATATAACAGGTACCCCAGTTTACTTTTGTGAATTAATCACCTGAACTACCATGCAACCAAGAGGTAAAAACAATGTGTATGCAAAACCTTCTGAAGCCCTTTTTACCAGGCATCAAACAGCTACTTATTTAATTCTAATTTTCTGATTTGTTTTTTTAAAACAAGAACCATAAACACGCTGGTCATTTTGGAACAATAGCTAAAAATCACAGAGCCATTACTGTCCATTAAAATCCTGTTTACAGTTCAATGGAGGTTCATATGGATTGCCCATCCTTCATAGAGGGAAGGAAGGGGTGGGTGGGAAGAGATTTATAATCTTCTAAGTGTCTCTAAACCCTTTCCAGTCTTTGACAGCCTTAAGGCTGGGTGCACAAATTGTGGGAAAGGGAGGAGGGAAATCATATTTAATTGTGGGAATGGGGATTAAATAAGTAGCTGTTGGATGCCCTGATTTCTATTTGATCAATAAATCATCAAGTGTCTTAAGTGCTGTATTCACTATTAAATTAAATGAAAAATACTTTAACCTGCCTCCCTTGTGTCAGCAGATAAAGCTAATAATATTTTTCGGTTATATTTCAATTTAGGTATTTAAGTGCATCAAACACCATGGGACATTTTTTTTCCTTGGAATAAATAGAAAATGGCCTTCAAGTTTAAATGTGGAAAAAATATTTTCTAGTGAAGAGAGCTGTTTAAATAGAGTATGTACATGGGTTAATATATTTAAATGGTACATTAACAGGCAGGCAACCCAACGTGTTTACACTTAAAAAGAAATTTCAGAGGGAGGTGATGCTGCTGAGCTTTGTATGGCACAAGCAGCACTTTTCAGTTAGGAGTCTCAGCGCTCAGAGCTACACTTTAAGTAACCTTTTCTCTAAATGTTTACCCTTTCCTTTTGTTTTCACCTCTAAATTAAGTTTACTTTTAACTCTTTCTTCTCAAGCGTTCCATTCCTCCAGGCTTCTCTTATCCTGACAGACCAAGGGCGAGTAAATCTATCTAAGTGTCATCTCTCAGGGGCTTACACTACAAATACTATTCTCTCTTTCTCCCCCCGCCTTTTTCAGATGATCAATATCCCTGCCCCCAGCACGAGGAAAAAACTCGCGCGCGTATCTTCTAACGTGTGTACACATTAGCACTTAGGGACGCACATCTGGGTCATGTGGTCACTTTATCTATTTTTCATAGGACTTTTCCTACATTGCAGGAGGGTGTGTACTTGCATGTGAAAAAAAAATTAGATGAGGCTCTTGATTCTTAGGGGGATCCGGTCAAACTCACCGGCATTTTTATAAGCGTATACTCGGCGGGAGCCAAAACAGAAATAAACATAAAAATGAGTTTCAGCATGTTTTGGGGCCTCACAGATCCCAGCGAGGAAAGCGAGAGCCGAATCGTTTTAGAGTGATGTCAACTTTCCCCTAATTTTAATGCCGATCTGCTTTTATATGTAAGAGATCTCGCTCGCCTTCTTTCCCCTCTAGCGGTAATAACCTGACGCTGCCCTAAAATCGCGATCGAATGATATCGGTGAGGTTTAATTGCCAACTTAGCATCTCCGTCACACCTCCCAGCCCATTAGACGCTGCAGCCTCACCTGGTTCTACGGGCGAGCTCAGCGGCCTCGACGGCCAGAGCCTGATTATACAGCCAAGCTGCTAATTTAGCGAACCGCCCTTTCGAGGGAGGCCTTGATGGACGCCACACGCCGGAATCAGGCGCGCGCTCCGAGGAGGGGCCGGCGTGGCGCCGCTGCTCCCCGCCCGCCCCGCCGGCCGCCGCCTCCCCGCAGAATGAGAAGCGGGGAATTAGCCGAGGTGTGGGCAGGCAGGGAGCCGAGCAATTAGCGCCGAGCGGCCGCCGGGGGGACAGCAGGAGAGGCGCCCGGGCCGCACTCTGCTGCAAAGGGTAAGGCGGCGGCCGGCCAGGCTCTGCGCCAGAACGGCAGCCGCGGCGCCTGGCCTCCCGGACCCTCTGCCCTCTGTCGGGAGGGCGGCGTAAAGTTGGGGCCAAGCAAGACTAGCAGCAAGCCGGCGGGCGACGCGTTTCCCACCCCGGCAAGACTCTAAAATAGCAGGCGCGGGGAAACCCTGAGAGGCAGAGGGCTTTAACCCTTTGCTCCCAGGGCGCTGGAAGAAAAGGCTTTCATCTGGGAGAGTGGGAGCTTCCCCTGCCCCCCAGCAAATATCTGGCGCAGGATGGCGAGACGGAAAGGTTAAAGCCCCACCCTCCCTTTCAAGAGTTCGGACCCGGGTGAGGAGGATCCCTGCGACTTTCTCCTTTAACCTTTAAGAAGCCGTCAGCAGACATGGCAGCTACTAGTTTGTCATAGAATCATAGCATTGTAGAATTGGAAGGGACCCAGAGGGTCATCTAGTCCAACCCTCTGCAATGATGGAATCTCTTCCCCCCGCCCCTTGACCCATACCACCCAGAGTAGAATATAGAAAGAGATATCCTAATCCGAGACACATCGGCAGTTCTTTGGGGCAGATTAATGTATATGATGTCTATAATCTATGAACTGCACACTCACACACCCCCACACATGACGTGTGACTGTGATGATATGTGTGGGAATGTTTGTTATATTCTGATAAATATTGAATGTGCAAAGACTCCTCAGATGGTCATCCATGTATTATGGTATCCCTAATATGCAATGTACAAGTGTGTGTTCTGAATCTGTACAGAAGCTTATAGTACGCACATGCAGTACATGAATATACAGTGCTTAATTCAGGCATTTTTGCATTCCAGGCCACTTTATGTCTCTCATGAAGCAGACTATAGACCACAAGAGCTCAGGCCCCAATCAATCCTCCAAGTGTCACAAGAATCTTGCTAGCTTTTGCTGCAACAAGCCAATGTGGCTAACCTTCGGCAGTATGTGTGATGGGTGCCTATTATCATGCAATAACTACTATATATGCAAAATTTGATGTGTGTACAACAGAGAAATGCATACTTCATGCATGCATGATACTGGCATACATTCTATGTATGGGTGTATATATAAACACATATATTACATGTGGTCAATATGCATTATGTCCTATGTATAAAATAGAGAGCACACTATATAATATATTTATTTATTGATCCTGCCCATGAACTCAGAACAGGACTTCTTATCCCACCAGCATTGGGAAGTCCAAGATCAATAGGGAAGATGGTGATTTGCCCAATGCAATATGCACATTTGAGGGCTGTAAGGGATTTGTATCCTGGATTTGAATCCACATTCCATCCACTAAGGCTACTCTGGCATTGTGTATGTGCATTTATATGAGCCATTAATATAACAGATGTTCATATTACATACATATATAACAGTCTGCATAATTCCATTTTGGTGTGTCCATGTGTGTAGCATCAGCATCTGTATCACGCAAATAACCCCAGCCTGTGCATGTAATGCGTTTAGTCGAACAGATGTTGATATGCAACTTGCCCGCTTATTCCAGGTGGGTAATCAAGGAGCCCTCTCCAATGTACCAGCAAACCCTTTATGCAAGTGACTCTCCTTGTATGTCTGTTGCAGATAAAGATACATTAATGGGCCAGGCACCCATTATTATTGTATAGGCAGGCACAAATAGAGGGGAATGTGCACACATGACCATAGAGCATTGTTAATGATGTACACCAGCGATCTAAGATATACTTCATATCCATTTCAGTTTGTAGATAATTTTGCTACGTTACCCTCCCGTTTGTGTGTGTGTTCGTTCTCCGGGTGCCTCTCTCTTCCTTCCGGACTGTAATCACAAGGGTAAATATTGGTAGGGATGCAATATATGTTTATGGCCCAAATGTGTGTGTAAACGCTTGAATCTAGGACTAACCTATATTTATTTGGTGCTCCGGGCAGCCAGTGGAAGCTGGAGGTGCGCATCTTTGCAACACAAAAGACCATGGAGCAAGCGGATGTCTCCCCGCCCCCCCGCCCCCTCCCCCTCGCTGGGCACAATGGCGAAGGAATCGCAGGACCCGCGCAAATGCGCTTCGCCAAGCGCTTTCCCCGGGAGTTGCTTTGGGCATTTCTTGGAGCCTTTGGCAGCAGACCACTTTTTGGGGGGGAGAGTGGGGGGGTTTATAGATTTCTCCCGAGCACCCGCCCTCCTTCTCCTCGCCGTCCTATATTTCTATATTCATCTGATGGGCGATGGTGGCGTTATTAATTGTAGCCGCGCCTTTGCTTGCTCTTTGCGAGAGCAGCGCTCTAAATTGGCTCTAATAAATATTAGCCGCTAGATTAGGCGAGGTGAAGCTGGCGCGGCGCTCCATTTTCGACCTGTAGCCTCTGCAAAGCCGCCAGTTCTGCGCCAGATTAGCCCCATCCATCCAGTGTCAATGGTTGTCTTGTTGAGAAAATCAGTGAGTAAACACGGCTGACAGAGAGGGGGCTCAGCTGATTACTCATACAAATAGACTGCAAACTCCTCCAGGAGAAGCTGTTTCCAGAGATGGGTTTCTCGCATTGACAGCGCGCCTTCTCCCAGGATCGTGTGTCCTGCTGTTCCCACTTTGTCCTCCATCAATCACACAATTGTGTCCGGGATGTTTTATAGAGTCACTTAATATCCCTGCCTTCATCTCTATTCACTTAGAGAATGATCTGCCATAAGGGGGAAAGGCTTTTCTTCTCTCTCTCTCTCTCTCTCTTGCTTGCTTCCCCCCACAGACAAACCCGGGCCACAATAGCTCTGGTGGGGGAAACGCAGCCAATCGGGGGAAGCCGGGAAAATCTTGCCCGGCTTTCTGATGCAAATATATCAAACCATCCATGAGATATTTCAATTCCAGCCAACCCTGTGGTTTACATGTCGCCCGCTATTCCTTTATTGTCTGGTGTTATTACATTACCTCCAGCTTCTCATAATCACCTGGGGTAAGAAAAACAAAATTGGGGGGGGGAGGAGGAGGAGAAAAGGTTACTGGTTGAGAAGGGAAATGCTAAAGCTACATTGCACCTTCACACACACACACAAATAACATGAAATATACAGAGAGAATCTGATCTGTTATTACCATCCATTAGCATCCCAGTTTGAGTTTTAAGTTGATTAACTGACTCGAATTTAACTGGTTAATGGTTCAATTAGTCGCTTGATTTAAGAATCTCAATAGTGGTGGCAAGTGGAAGGTATAAAAAGAAGCGAAGAGTTTCTCTCGCCTAAATGAGGCGAGAAAATAATGCATGGCTTGGGAGGAATCACCTTCAGCGCATTCCTCGAAACCAGAGGTGAAGTCAGCCTGACAACGGTGCCACCAACATCGTACTCATCCGATTAAAAGTCGCATTTGAAGATTGCTTCCTTAGGCACCCTTAGCTGAAAGGAGGCTTCCTTGAAATCAATTGCACTGGCTTGAAAGTTTGGTGTTGGGTGTGTGCTGTTTTTTCCTTTTTGTTAATTTGTGGCTGTCAATGGATTCATTACTCCCAGTCACTTAGTAAAAAGAACCCCAACACACAATTCCAAAGTAAGTTCCGATTAGGTGCATCGGGCTTGTTTACAAGTAAATCTATTAAGAATCAGGTCTTTAAAGTTACATAACAGTAACTGGCATAATTTATGGAATGGGCTTGGGTAACTCCAGTTACAGCGGTCTCATCAGTCTTTTAAACATTTGACAGCAGCCCAAGACCAAAAGACCTGGCTTAACTGGATTAGGGGACGCAATAAGTGAAGTTCAACATAAAAATATAAAAAGTTTCAGATAGACTGTACTGTAAAATTGCGACGGGTCCCATAATCCAGTTAAAACAATGCACTTAGTATAATGCACTTAGTATAATGATAGTATAGTAATAATGATTGTAGGTCCCAGCTTCACTGGGTAGAGAATCTCTTTCCATGAGTGCTCATTTTCTTCGCAACTGCTTTGTCCCTGGCCTGTTCTTACTGCCATATTCAAATAAGCATCACCATCACCTTTCCCTTGTAACTAGAATGGCCAGCCGGTCTAAGACGGCCTTGAATGCTGGAGAATGTTAAAGACAAGCGAAGGAGTTACAAGGTATTACTGTTGAAGTACCTCATCTGCAAATTAGATTGCTACACAATTAATCAGAAAGTTAATTAATGAGCAAGTTACTAATTAGGACAATTTAAAACTGATGTTTATAGAGTCTTACTTTAAAAAAAAATAAAAATACCAGCCAGCTAATTGGCCCATACCTTGGTTTCATAACTCATCACCAAGGTTATAATGCTACAGATGTTTTGTTTATTATGTAACACAAGGCAATTATGTCAGTATTATATTGGGCGCATCGTGAATCAATCTTGGAAATTTTGTTATCACTTTAAAGGCTAGTATTTCTTAAAATAATAGAGAGAGGAGTATAACTGGGGAGGAGGTGGTTATTTTTCGTCACTCTCTCCAGAGACCCGACAAAGCCTGAATCTTTACCTGCTACAGCTTCCTGCAATACACACAAGCAGCTAGAGAGAGAGTTAAGTCACGTTTCGCTGAGGTAAATAGCCAAATTACTACTGATATTGTAATAAGGGCTCTTGGATTTCCTCAAGTAAGTGAGCACTGAGCAGTAGGGCAGACTAGATGTCCTTTAAGTTTCCTCCAAACGCTAATTCAACCATGATATGATTGTAAGTCTCTGTGACATACTCCCAGGTATTCTGCCTACTCCCTTGGCGATTCTGGAGAATCAGGGTTTTGTTAATGGGTGATATATAAATTATTTTACATTCAATCTTATTAGCTCATGGTGTTTTGTAAAAAAAAAAAGTTCTCTCCATATTTGCGATAAAATATCCAAAACAAACAAACAAACCCGAGAACAAGAAAGATAATTTAAAAAGCAAACAAACCACTAACATATCTACCCCTTTAAATGGGTGGTGGAACATAACTAGCTAAAATAAACGTATCGATGTGTAAGGACTGGGTAACATTCAATACCTGTGAAATAATGTCGATATGACTCCTTAAAACTAGGGATGAGAGGAATTAAGACTTATGAAATGCATGAAACTATGGTGGTAGCAGACCCAGTAGTGAGTTTATTTTCCAAATATCCTGAATTGGGGGGGAGGGACCTTTACCTGAATACCTGTAAAATTCGTGAAGACTTTAAACTTTAAATATGAGGATAAACTCCACAAAGCCTGTGTGTGTGTTTGAGCATCCACGTCAGACTTCAGTAGAAAATGACCTTTATTGTTTTTAGTGGAAGGAGCGCATGAGCGCAGGCGCTGCCGCCGACTTGCCTTTGCGTTTGCTCTGTGGCGAGGCGAAGACATGACAGCAAGCCCCCATTGTCTGTTAGGTCCCCAAATACTGATTAATTCTGTGCGCTGTAATGGCTCAGGTGTGTGTATCCTCAAACTGTACGGAGCGCTTGTCTAACCCTCATCTCCTTGCACCAAGCCTTCCTTCCCCCATCCTCTTAAATACAGAAGCCAATAATTCCTACGAACTCAGCAATATACAACCCCAGTACATTTACTCCACAGTCCTTCCCGTAAAGGCAATGAAACAGCGACGAACTAAAATCTACCACGCAAGAATCAGGTCGATCTTCCACTCCAAACAAAAAAATAATAATCAATGAACCCCCTTGAAGTTTTGGGGAGAGCTGTTTTTGCTCCCTCCCCTGAATGCAAATATTTTCAAATTTGCTGAGCTAAACCAAGATTCTCATAAGCAAGTAGAGTTAAAGTCCCTTTCGCACCCTTTCGGCATTCACAATTCTGCCTCGCTTTCTCTAAACAAGGCCAAATTCATGCATGTGTTCTCCAAGAATCTTGTTAATAATTCTGACTGGGGCATAACACGTTCGCACGTGTTTGTGCGTGTGTGTGTATGGAGGAGGTTATACCCGAATTAGCTCTCCTACTGCGGGTGGGTAGGGGAAAGGCGAGAACTAAGCCGAATTATTTAGGGGCGTTTCTGGACAGTGTATATCAAGCTGCCTACTTTAGAAATCGGCATTATAAGTAGTTCCGGGTCACCATTCGCCTAGTGTAGTTCAAGTTGCTGCTCCTTAGCAGTTGTTTGGAGCGCCATAACGCACCCAAACAACTCCTGGCAATCTCATCTTCAACCATGAGGAGTACATATAGGTAATTTTTAATGAAGAGGTTCCTGTACCACGTTATTAGCAATAAATCTACACTATTCTTTGTTGGTTAAAATCATTATCATCATCATCGCTATCATTACTGAACTCATTATTCTTGTGTTACTATCAGAGTAGATTTATGATAATACCCACCATCACGCCTGAGCTAAAGAAGGTGTAAAGGTTTGATTAATAGCTGCTTTCACGTTTTAATACTCGACATTTTCTCACTTTTTTGTAATAAATAAGGACTGTAATAATTACAGGAGGTAATTGCTGCTCTGATCAGACACATATGTGTTTCTCTTAAAATCTCCAGCGGACACAAGATCGGATCAATGCGAAGCAGAGCCTAAGAAAATAATAAGGTATTGTCCAGCAACACGGATAACTGAAAAAGTAAACCTCTGAAAAAAGAAAGAAAGAAAGAAAGAAAGAAAGAAAGAAAGAAAGAAAGAAAGGCGAATTTCTTCATAGAACGATCCGACGTTTTCTGGGTGCGCCTACCAAGCTGGATGGGCCACGTTTTCCGCTCCAAACCCCACAAAAGCCCCACAACTGGATGCGAGCGTGTCAGCTTGCCAGACAATTAGAGCTGGATTGCAGAATGGTTCAGGGACGAAGATATTATTGGACTGTCTTCGTCACTTTGTCTTTGCACACATACATGCTGCACGCAGAAACGGGTCTAGATACTCTGGATAACCCGTCATCCATCCTCGCTGGCGGTGAATTACCGAGAGGGAGAGAGAGGGAGGGGAGCGAGCGAGTCTCTGGCGAAGAGCAGCACAACACTCTATCTGTCCCTTAAAGGTTACACGGCGCACTGCTTCGCTTTGTCTTCCTCGTGCCCTTTCCTGGCAAAAATGGAGACATCACATCCTTGCCCAGCCCCGGCTCAGTATTTATGAAGGTTTTCTGACAAATAGGCAGGCTGGCCACGCATGGGTGGCTGCCTTCATTCCGCACTTGGCTTGTTTACATAGGACCAGCACCATTTCCACGGATTAAACAAATCACAGCGAGAAGAAGACATTTATAATCCGCCAACGAGGCCACAGGCAGTTAAAAATGGTGCGTGTGTGGATGTGAGAATGGCGGTGAGGAAGAAAAATAACGTCTCTGGCCAGGGAGCTGACCTTCTCCTGAGAGGGCAACTCAGGGGTATACAGAGATAAATGCAAGTTATATATAATAGTACAAGCACACACATTGTATACATATATACAGAGTGCCATATATTGCATTATTGTATTATGAGCCTTACACATTTTTTTTCCTATTTAAGGAATTTTCTGCAAAATGGGCCAATAATAATAAACTCCTCTCTGACCATTGACTAAGGAAGTGCATATATTATGTATATCATGTACATAATATATGTATTGCATATAATTATATATAGTTATGTCAGTACTGAATAGATCACATTGGCACTAACAAACTGGCCATAATTCAGAGCACAGTGTTATGCACTGAAATTCCATTAATATCAGTGGGTTTAAGAAAGTGTGGCTCACTACTGAATAGTGGCCGCTGTGAAGAATATACATTGCTAATATATACAATTATTGGACATATAATTCCATATATACCCATACGTTACAGTATATGTGGAAGTCTGTTTTGATATAACTGGCTGGGTGAGCAATTCACATGTGTTTGTGCAAAGGTTAATCACACTCTAATATATAAGATTACATCTTTATATACATATAAATATTCTCTGGATGAATCCATGAATGTAAACAGGTTATCCTCAAAATGTAAACAGGTTATCCTCTGTTTAAAATGGGAATTTTGACTGGCTACAAGGCCTGCATCCCGCAAGACTAGATTGTCTGGAAGTGCGTTAATCCAGATTGGATGCCAAAAATATTCTGATCGATTGGATGGCCTTAAAACAACATGGGAACACAACCAATGGCGTCCGGCTGCATTCCCTTAACGAGAGACTCGCCGAAGGTTGAGCCTGACACACATCACAAAACCTTTTCTGATCAATATCATATCACCCCGTTAGAAGGGGGTGGTTTTGGTTTTTGTTTAAATGTAGGGCTTGCTTGCCACGACATTTCCCCCCCTAAAAGCCTGTGTCTGGAACTGTAACTTTAGGGATAAGGCGAACAAGAAATGGGAAACAATGGCAGATAAAGACGCTCATGGGCATCCAAAGACCCTGATCTTTAAGGCTGGAATTCAGCTCCCGTGGGAATCTCCCTCCCCAAAAGTGCGTTAAGTTTGAAGCCTTCACCCTAAGATCGGATTGGCGAGAAACAGTCACGTGGACAGGGTGGGCTAAGGGTGGCGATGGAATTCGAATCGAGCAGGCAGTTGAGGGGAAGCGCCTTTTAGGTTCCCGGGGCCAGGCGGGGGGAAAGGGCGCTTAGGGTGTCAGCACAATTCCGTTCACACAAGTCACGCTTCTTGTTCTCGCCATTCACCCGGAAGTGTAAATGAAATAAATCCCGAGGTGGTTTTTTTTTATTCCCCGCCACCTCCTCCCCGTCAGGAAAGTCGAGCATGTTTGTATTATGATTTCTCGCTGCCTCTCTCTCTGGGCTAAGAATGATAGCGCTGAGGAAGGAACCATGACTGGAAATGTTGCCCTTCCTCTTCTGTCAGCTATCAGGGCAGCTCGCGGCTGCTGCTGCTCCTGCTTGCTTTCCCTCCTCCTCCTTCCCACTGCAGCTGGTGGGGTGGTTGTTTTGTTTTTTTAAGATATATTTTTTTTATGACAGATGTCAGCCACCTCAGGCAGCGGGAGCGAGAGGAGGAAGGAAATTCCCCACAAAATAGCAATGGTTCGAAAAAAAAGGATCACAACAAAAATATTGAATAAATTCCCTTTTAATTTATTTGATCATTCCACATTACGGAGCTATGAATTGCTCAAATTTGATAACAAGTACTCAATTCAACTCATTATGTAAGTTAAATTAGACTTCGATAAAATTTCAGTGGCGCGCAGTGGTTCCTAAAATGAAATGTAATTTGTGCAAGAATTTGTTGTATCTGTCACAAATATTTCCAATTAGCGGCCGTAATTATTTGATAGTTTCTGCAATTATGGCTTAAACGGGTGAATTTGGGACTGTGGAGGACCCTAATTGGCCTAAATTTGATATTTTGCATATTTGCATAATGAGGAAATTGGTAGAAAATTGTGTTCATTCATTTGTGAAAAATCCTATGAATTTTATGAATTTGAAAGCTCTGTTTGTGCAGACTGTGACTTTGCTTGCTGATCCCTGAGGAGCTCGCGCTGAATGCCTGAGCGGGCAGCGCGCCAACTTCTCCACAAGGAGGAGAGAGAGAGAGAGAGATGAAAGAAAAAAAAAGAGAAAGAGAAAGAGAGAAAGGGTGGGTGGTGGGGGAGGGGAACAGGAAGAGCCGCGGCCGCGCGCGCCAAACAACGGGAAATTCTGCGCATGCGCAAGCGCTTCAGCCTCTTCTAGGCGTGATTGCAAAGCGCTGGAGGCGTAGGGCCCGCGCGCTTTGTGCTGAGGGGGAGCGGCGATAGCTGAGAGCTGCTGCTTTTTCAGTATCCCGCGGTTCGTTTTCTGACACATATGCCTACGCAGGTGCGCGTGAGAAAAGAGCCCGGTCCTCCTCTCGGAAGACGCTGAGAGGCTGAGCAGGCTCGTGCACGCGTGATTTTCTTAAGCGAAATGGCCAAATGCCTCTCTCCTTTTAGCGGGCGCGTTTGTGTGATCTATGGCTCTGTCAGTTTGAAACAGTTAAAAGAGAAGCCAAAGCCTGGGCTTTTAAGATGCCGGCCCAGCAACCCCATTCATCATTGCGTCGCGGCGTTTTTTAACGTCCCCGCGCTCGGCTGGGGTTAACGTCTTAACAACTCCTTTGACGCAAGGCAGAGTCTGGATCCAGCCCAAGGGGTGGGTGCTCAGCAGAAGAGACCCTGTGGGAAAGAAGAATCGGGAAGCCCGCGTGAGAAAGAGGGGGGTTCCCCCCCAGAAAAAACAGCATAAGAAAATAAATATTCTCTACGTAGGTTAGGAGGGAGAAAAGTGAGTTTATTATAATTGGGTTTATAATTATTGCCTTAGGCCAAGGTTCAAATCCCAAGTTTAGAGGTGCTTGAAGGAGATTGAGTTACACATCACCTTGGGATTCACTTTATACACACACACACAAACTATATAAATAATGATTTGCCCTGGTTTTAGTTATTTCCACATATTTTATTCTTTTTATTTCCATACTTCTTAAAAGGTACCTCATTCCTAAATAAGGAAATGGAAGGCTAATGTAAATACAGCCAATTGCAGGTAGGGGTTTGTGCAGCCCAGTTAAAGGTTTCCACTCATCAGTTGAAGAAGTGGTTTAGGAAACTGGTTTTCTAGATGAAACTGAGTAAAATGAAGGAAGGGTCGGGAGGTCAGGTTTCAAACCTATGAAGGAATGTAATGAGCTCGCAACTGTGTTTCTTGATCTAACGGGGCAGGTTGTCGCCAGGTGTGAGTTTAATAGTGGCCTTAGATTTTGAACTCCTTAGCATTTGAACAGTGACTTCTTGAGACAAGAATTGGAAGTATGTTGCAAGCCTTTGTGTGCTGTATGTGTATATGTGTTAGATTGGAGTTCACATACTTTTTACTCCTGTTGGATGAACTATCAAGGGCAGGGCAGAGTGAGGCTACCCTGTGCCTTCTGAGCTAGCCTGCTGCACTCAGGTATGATGGAGGATGCTGTCCCATTGTCATTGTTGAAGTGATACTAAACTGTCAGTCTCGGTGGCTTTTGTACATGAAATACAGAAAGGCACTATCTGCTTCAGGTAGCCCAATGTTTTGGGCTGGCCCTTGTCAAGGGAAGCAGTGGTTCAGTTGGTATGGGGGGAAAAACAATGTACAATTCAGACCTGGGGTGGCCAACCTGGTGGCTCCCAGTTGTGAATCAGCCCTGGCCATCATAGCAAACAGTCAAGAATGAGGGGAATTCTAGTTTACATCTTCTGGATGCTGGAAATCCCAATTCTAGACTAGAGATTCTGTGTGGTGAGGGATGGTGAGTTGATGTAAAGAACAGATAAAAAGCATTGTGAGCAGCTAAAAGGAAAACCTCTCTCTGGACCTAAACACAGGATAGTTGTGTGTGTTCTTTGTGGGAAGGTGGACTTAAAAGTGCTATTAACCAAGAATGTGAAGGTTGGGGGTGGTGAGTTTTTCATATTATTCAGCACACATTCATATTTAAATAGCTTGTTAAACGTTTGGTTGCAGTTTTCAAGTACATGTAATATTTAACTTTTCAGGAAATACATACTCTTGAAACAGTTTAATTATTAGGTTTAAACTCAAGTTGCAAATCACATACTGTACTCTGGAGTTGTTTT